TCTTGACACATGAGGTCTTCCAGGCCCAAGAGCTGCCCGGAGGATAAACTCGGCCTCTGTTCATCTGAGTTCAGGGAGGTCCTGTGGACAAATGTGTTTTCTCACAATCAGACTGGGAAGACCAGAACAACCCCAAAGTGATCTGTTTTTAGGAAAACTATTTCAATATACAGATGTTAAAAAATTGAGAACAAGGGGTGGTTGGCCGGCTCAGTCTATAGACGGTGTGACTCGATCTCAGGGATGTGAATTTGAGCCCCACCATGGGTGTAGAGAGTGGTTAAAAAAAATTTATATTGAGAACAAGTACGAATCATCCAAAAAGGGGAAAAGAGAGCTATGTGCACCAGTTCACAGCAAGTTTGTTCCAGGTTTTAGGTTTTAGGCTGCCCTTAGAGCTGCTTTGATGGCATGTTTTCTTCAACATGGCCATTTTTAGTACAGAAAGTGGGGAGACACCTAATTACCTAATTTTTCCGGATGCTGGCAGTTACAACAGACTTTTTTTTTTTTTTTAGACAGAGAGAGAGTGCACAAGCAGAGGGGGTGGGCAGAGGGAGAAGCAGACTCCCCCGTTGAGCACAGAGGCTGACTCTGGACTTGATCCCAGTGCCCCGAGATCGTGACCTGAGCCGAAGGCAGACACCCAACCAACAGAATCACCCCGGTGCCCCTACAACAGACATTTTGACAAAAGGCGGCCCTGAAAAGTTCCTAGCAAGCGGAATCTGGTGAATAGAAAGGAATTGTCTGCGGACTTGGGTTTTTGCGCACTGAGGGCGTGTGATGTGTGGGACGGGTGACGAGCCCCTGCTGTTTGTGTCATGTAGGTAGCAGCGGTGAGGGGGTGCAGGGGAAGGGACTGAGAGTTGCGGGGCAGAGACTCTGGGCATCCCAAAGCCTCTCGAGCCCCAGACTGGAGCCCTTCAGACTGGCTTCTGTCAGCCCCTGTGGCTCCGGGCCCTGCATGGCAGTGCCACGTCGGTGGCACCACATCCGTGGCGGCGCTGCCATGGCCTGTCTTACAGCAGTCTCACTTGGTGTTTGCTCTCTCCCTCCGGCCCTGCTGCTTCCTTCCCTGTACCTTAGGCTTTAAGCGGCCCTAATGGTATCGAAGTCATTTTCTTCCACCCAACGCTGTGAATGAGGGGGATCTCCTCTTGGTTTCAGCTTGCGGGTGGGGTGGTACCTTGTGGTGGTGTGTTATGGCCTTGCCATTGACTCTGAGAACGCCAGGAAACATCTCAGAATGGGTTCTTCACGTTTCTTGAGCAGAGCAGTCCTGGTATCTGTCTGGCGGGACACATGGGTAGGAGCTGAAGTGGGTTCTGAGTGGACTCTTCTGACCACAATGGACTTGAAGGGGCCCCAGTGAGGCAGTTGAGGGGACAGGTATGGTATAAGCACGGGTGGAAATGGCGGCAGAGCCATCCCCACAGTCCCAGTGAGTGGGCAATGCTTCCTTGAAGCATCAGAGGCTCAGTGTGAAACCTGGGCAACGGGACCGCCACCCAGGAAGTGTGCAGTGTGCCTCATACTTCAGAGGCTCCCAAGTCCCCACCAGGTGACAGAGTGATCCGATGTCTGCGCAGCCACCCCCTCCCCCATCCCTTCCTCACAGAGTCCTGATGGGGTCCTGTTCTCTGCTCCTCTGAACCGCCCTGTGTTCATGGGAACACAGCCCCAGATCCAGGTACCTCAGCCAACCTTGGTCGGCCCATCTCCTTGCTGGAGATTGGTTGAGGCGTGAACACATGACATATTCTGGCCAATTGAGACCTGACAGGAGGCCGGGGCGGGACAGCAGGACAGGTGCAAGGGTTCCCTCACTCCTATGGACACCCGGCAGAGGTGGCCCTTTTCCTGCATCTGGATGCGAAATGTGAGCTCCTGCGGCAGTCTTGCAAGGACGAGGAAGGCTAGTGGGCCCCAGGAGCCCGAAGCGCAAGGAATTTGGAACCACGGAAACAGCCGAATAGGCCCATTCTGCCTTTGGGCTCCTCCGTGCCCCAGCTCCCCTCTGGTATGCTGCTGGACCATCTTAGCAGATCCAAGGATATGAAAGCTCCTTGAGTTTACTTTCCAGAGCCCTGGGAATTTTGACTCAAGTACACAGGAGTCCTTCGTGTTTGGTGAAATCAGAGAAGAAGGATCCAGGCAGGAGAAGACGAAAGCCCATCAGCCGGCATCAGGGCAATCAGGGCAACGCGCTGGGTAGGGTGGCCCCCGGGGTGGTGGCCCGTTCTGCCACCGCACCCAGTGGGTGGGGAGTTGCAATGATGGGGAAGGGGTCGCTGGGAGGGGGCAAAGGGAAGAAAGAACTCTTAAAATCAGATTAAAAAAAAAAAGGGCAGTGACAAAAAGATGATTTTTAACAAAGAAAGAACCACAGACATTAGGCTAGAACGCAGAGACCAGCCCCTCGTTCCGTGCAGACTGTCAGCAAGGAAGCAAACGGAGTCAGGGCCACAGGAGGGAGGCGCCCGAGAACTCCAGCCCGGAGCGAGAGAGGAAGGAAGGAGAGGGACTCACTCCCACCATCACTAATGTCAGGTGCGCAAAAGGCCACTGCTTCTTTGAGTTCACTGTATTGATTTAGCTTTATTCCAGCAAATACAAAATATTTATAAGAACTTCGCAGGTTCTCTCCTCACCAGACCCTCTCTAATTCCATTTGCTATGAGCTTTCGTGCTAATGGAACAGAAACGGCCTGTGCAGCACGAAAGAACCGCTGTATTCCCCTCATCCCACGTTGGCTGACCCCAGGAACCTACGGAGCCCCCGAGCTGTCCCAGACACTGTCCCCATCAGGCCATTTTGGTGTTTTCCGGCGTGCTATCTGTGGAAAGGCCCTTTCCCTGCACACATGGCTGTCTTCTCCGGAAGACCTTCGTCTCCCTTACAGGCGGGCACCATGTTGTATCTTTGATGTCTCTCTCTAGCAGGGGGCACAGGGCTGGGTGTGTTATAAACACTCAAACGAGCCTCCCTTCCTTAAGTGGGAAGTCAGTGTCATGCTTAAATGGGAGGGCTCTTCGCGGGTCCCAGCTCTGAGGGCACTGAGCAGTTCCAGCATGGAAGGTGAGTGTTGAGGTGTTGAGTTAGGGTTTTTGCTAAAAGCACGCTCAGAGCCTGGGATAGGCAGCAGCTCACATCCCTGGGCACAGTGCCCCTCCCCCCCCACCTGCCCATACCTGGTGTGGAAAGGATTTGGGGGCGCCGTGCAGAAGATGGGTAACAGGTCCTGCTGTCTGGGTGTCCAGCCTAACAACGCTGCCCCCTCATTCTGCCTCAGAAGGCTTTCTGGAAGCCTCCGGAACTGCGGGGAGCATTCTCTTAGCAAATGCATCTAACTCTGACGACAGCGATCCCGCTTCCTATAAAAGGAGGACCAAGCTGTGGGAACTGCGCCATCAGGTGCCATCCATCTCTACAGCTATGTCTGGGGGAGGGAAGGAGCCTGCTGACGTCTGCATGGGAGGGCCCGGACCTCGCCGGATGAAGGCCGCCTACATGTCATAGAGCCGGAGCTGCTCCTGCACGTCGCCAGCGGACATCTCCCCGAATGTCTCCTTGTTGTCCTGCAGGAGCTTGAAGATGGCTGCCAGCTGCTCCTTCTGCACTCTGTGGGGAAGAGAGGACAGAGAGGAGAAAGGTGCTCCGAGCCCAGGGCGGCAGGGGCGCTGGGGGGCCCTGCTCTATCCGCTACTGCCGAGTCTGCTTTCCAGGACAAGAAGAAAATCAAACCGCACCAAAACCCACTCAAAGCTCAGCGACCTCAGCTGGAAGGTTCTAAAAGCCGGCTCTATGTCTTGGGTGTTCCCTGAAGGTCTGGGGACCCGAGTGACCGTGTGGGTTCTGGTGCCCCTGTTTCCCCTTGGGCCCCCTTTGAGCATTGACCTCGCGTGTCGGGGGAGGTAACGGGGAGAGGCCCGTTCTGTTAGGTGGCTGGAGAGCGAGCCCCTGAAGAAACAGGTTAGCAAGAGCCTCAGTTTAGAGGGATGAGGACAAAGACCATGGCCGGCCGAGATGGAGGGGCGCACGTGGAGGGGCACACAGGGGCTTGACTCAGGGCTGGCGTGGGGTCTCACTGCCCAGAGGAAGGAGCTCAGCAGCTTTTCCTTTTCCTGATTTGCGCAGATACCTTATGGCCAGCGGGGGCCCTGCCCCTCCTGCCATAGACCGGCCCGCACAGGCTGCTGTCTTTGTGAGGCTCCGCCACGCCATCTGACCAGCACAGGGCAACTCCCAGGAGCGCAAACATTTGGAAAGGGTGGGGCAAGACTGCCTCAGAAAATAGGGACTGTCTGAGGTTCTGGTCCCGTGCCAGCTGTTTGCGCGGCTGGCATCTGTCTTCTGCAGTATCTCCGGGCCACCACACCCTGCTCCTGGGCCCTCTCAACCTCCACCTGCAGCTGGCAATGCCACAGACACAGGCAGGTCCCACGTGGCTGGGCTCTGGCACAACCTCCGGTCACCCAGCACCCAGAACGCTGCCTGGGGCCGGGCTGGGGTCTGAGCATCTGGTCTTACATGTGCGTCTCAATAGATTTCCTTCCATGGGAACCCCATGTCTCCCATCCAGAAGTTGGTTTTCTGGCTACAGCAGCATCTAGAAACTCAAATATTGAAGTCCCGAACCCCAGCCTCTCTTTGTCACCCCGGGAATGTGCTTTCTACGGTCCGTTTGCCTGTCTGGAGGAGAAGGAGCATGCCCTAGGTGTTTGGTACCCACCGTCCGAAGACAGCACTGAGAACTGAAAGGGGGTGTGTTGAGCTCCTTGGTTGAAATCAGCATCTCCCCACCCCGAGCGACCACAGATTCTCAGATATTTTTGGTGGCTGTGGCATTTGGGCACTTTTAACAGGGGTGGACCTATGGCTTGGACATGGTTAGAGAGCAACAGGCATTCAAAGTGAGAGAGAGCTCAAATTTTAATGGGTTCAAAGGAGATTATTTTTTAAAAACAAAGCAAAACTGAAGAAACACACAGTAACCGAGATCATCTACTCCAAGTTTATTGGGCTGAACAAAGGCCGAATACACAGATCCAAGCTATCAGGAGTAAGGCCTGGTTCCTACAAGGCCCTGCAGGAAGAGACAACTAACTAGTTAGATAACTAACCTGGAGGGAGTCACCTACTTACTGGATCCGTAAGATCCCAGCCTGGGCAGGGCCGTTCTTACTGCTGTGTGGGGACCTATGTGCCACCAAGCATACATCTCCTCGTTCCGTGGCTCAGCGTGGCTTACCCACTATTGCCTGGTCTGCTCTCCGCCCCCAAACCTAAGCTTTTAGGCCCAGAGGAGGAGGTCACTGGGAATGTAACATGCCCCAGGGGTAGGCATCCTGGCCTTCCATTAAATGGCAAAAAATTTCTCTATAAACTTACTGCTTAAAAAAAAAAATGTTTTAACCAACACATCTAAAAACTGCCAATTAGTCTCATACAGTATAAATACTGTCCAGTATAAAACTCCAAGAAACGGATCTGGGACTGCTCTCACTATCTGGTGAAATTCTGATCTGTCTAGGACACCTTCTAGGGAACGGCACAGTCCAGAAATCTACTTCAAGCTCACTCTTCCTACTGCTTCTGCCGAAGGGAAGGTGGAGATTCGGCTGAGCTGGTAAGAGCATCAGGGAAAAGGCCCCTGAGCCCCAAGACGACCGGATTGCAGAGACTAAGGGCAACACAGATATGGGGCTGGCACTTGTTCCCTGCTCTGGGACCATCAACATGGCATCCCTCGCCCCCTGCCACCGAGCCAGCCAGCCAGAAAGAGGGAAGTGGGCCCCCAGAGAAAGGAGGACAGTCAGCCACCCCAGAGCCGGCTAAGAGCGAAGGAGCTTGGCCTCAGCTGTCTGGAATGCCTCAGAGTCTTTCTCGTTTTGGCTCCAGTGAAGGAGAAGGCCAGTAGAGGGTAGGGGGAGGCACTGGAAGGAAGCTACAATGGTTTTGCAATGACAAGGTGTCTGTCACTGGGGACATCACAGATGTGAAGGGTGAGGGGAGAGCAGGGTTCAGCGATAAGAAAGACCAAAGTCTACAAAACCCTGGCTTAACCAAGCAATCCACACCAACTGGGAGGAACACCTCTACCCTGGGGTGGGGGGGCCAAGGCACTCCCAGCACCCTCCCCGCCAAGGGGCAGGTCGTGACGGAGGGTCTGGGTCCCCGCGGATTTATGCTGGCCAGAGCCTGTATGGCTCTGCTCTGGGGATTTCCATTTTATCTCTCAAGCTTTTTAGATGCCAAAAGGAAAAGCCTTTAGCAGGAGGCTAAGGATAACTTCATTATTCTTCGGTTCTGTAAAGAGAAATAGGGAGAAAAGATCATGTATTTTACTTCTTCCATCTAACAAGTATTGTGGGGGAGGACACGGGAAACGGGGATGAGGAGGAGGATGTTTGGGATTGCAGATGCTGGACACTGGTTTCTCGGTCACGGGGCAGTTTGCTTCTTGCCACCTGCAGTAGGACACTCTGTTCCCCAGAGCTGGCCTGGCTCTGCACAGGACCTCAGCAGCCTGCCACACCCCATTATGAGTCCGGAGTCCATGAACTACTGTTGAGTTAGGTCGGGCGGATGCTGTCTCTGGACAGGTGGGCAGCACAGACCCTTTCTCTGGGCAGGTGGGCAGGGCAGACACTCTCTCTGGGCAGGTGGGCAGGGCAGACTCTAGGTTAGACACTGGGCACTTCTGATTTTTGGCTCTGTGCTTTACTGGGCCCATCCTGTCAAGTTCGGCTACTCCCTATTCCTGCCGGCAGGGTTTTGTCCCCGCTGGGGACACTGACACCCTAGGATGGACATCCACCTTTTCTAAATGACACCCAGCAGCACACGGACTCATCAAGGGATCACAGGGGATCTGATTTTGTCCCTCCGGCGCCCTCTCCTGGAGGTCAGAGTCTCGCGTGTTTCTAGACCTTAACACTGGCCAAGCCTTGGCGGATTCAGCAGGTTGCAGAGGCCAGGATATCCCACAGCCTGGGTTCCCCCGCCTCTTCCCCACCCCCTGCCTGTGATGCAGTACAAAACACCTCCACCACAGTCGTGTCCCCCTCCAGAAAGGTCAGGACATTCTGAGGACCTTCAGAATGGGAGTGGGTACTGGGGTCCCAGGTTCCTGTGTATCAGAGCCTTCCTGGTCTACACTTTCCTCTGGACCAGAAGGTGGGGAGAACAGATGGTGTACAAGGACAGGAGTGGGCAGAGGTGCTTCTTCTTTTTCCTGCCAAGATCACTAGCTTCCCAAGCTCTGAGAGCCAGAGGAGCCGTCAGCAGCCGGCAAGCCCACTGTCCCGTCCACGCTCGGAAGCTGGATGCGGCCCCTCCCAGAGAGACTGCGGTGGGAACGCACACCCCCGCCACCCAGGCATGGCAAGGCCAAGGGGGCCATGAGCCCTGAGCCCCAGGAGAAGCCCCGAAGGAGGGGGCAGGCTGTGACAGAACACGCTCTTCCTTGGGCGGCGACAGGCTCTGGATTCGCAAACCCGACCGTGTTCAGCCCCTCGGGCAGAAGGAAGCTGACCTGCGAGTGAGTCCAAGGATGGGAATGTCCATTTAAACACCAGAGGAACGATCTGGGGTCTTGATTTTAGTCCCGCTTCCTAAGTGCTATGCCCTGAAAATTTATGAAGTGAGGCTTTAGGGGATGCGGGATCACGTGACCACTGAGGCCCCGGGCTCAGCCTACTGCTCTTCTGTTGGCTGAGTTGAGAAGTTTTTAAAGTCAGGGATTTGCGGCATTTACTTGCAACTCAGCTGGGACCCAGAGTGCCAGGAGAGGAATTAGAAACAGGCAGCGTTTGGTTGGAAAGAATCTGACAGGCAAAGAAGAAAGCACACTTCGCTGGCCTGTGGTTTCAGTGGTTGGACAGTAACAGACGTATTGTTTCCACACTGCAATTCCAGGGCAGTGTCCTACCCTCAGCTGGGACCAGAACCCACTTGTACCCACCGGCGCTCCCGGGCCACACGGGAACTAGCGTGCTGTCAGTGGAGACAAGGAGCCCAGCGCGCCAGCCTCTGCAACCCCAAGCATCACCACGAGAGGGACAGAAGCGGCTGCAGGAGGGGTGTGGTCAAGCAGCCCCATGCAGTGCCACGTGGGCTGGCCGCGTGCAGGGGCAGGAGCGGCAGGCAGGCAGGCGGCACAGGCAGATGCGTCCAGCAGCCGCGGGGAGCATGCTGGGAAGGGCAGGCATGAAAATGGACATGAACTCCAGCTCCACCCGGTGAGGACAGCACCACACTGAGCGAGGACTGTGTTTAAGGGCCATGGCGTCCACCGGCCCCTCCTTCTCCACTTGGGGCACAGCCTCCTTCTCCCCGAGAGAAGCCCCGGGGCACAGTCTCCACCTCACGGAATAGCCAAATGTCAATCAGTGTGTGAGAAGCCCTCCCCACGAGCCCCCTCGGGAAAGAGCCCCCTGGCCGATGGAGTCTGCTGTCTAAACACGACAGAGGACAGACTTTCCCTCCCTCTTCCCGCAGTTCTGGCTCGGAGCCCAGGGTCGGTGGCCATCCGACCCCGCAGCCTAAGGCCTGGCATCCGTTCCCCGTCCTTCCTGTTTCAATGGCTCCTCATGGCCACAGGGAGCACCTGCCCGAGCCCTGGGAATCAGGCCTGTCCCGGCCACAGCTCTGTCCACAGGGACCTCTGCGGGACCTCAAGGGCACCCCGCCCTCCCTATTCTTAACCCAGGGGCCGCACGTGTTTTCTGTAAAGGGCCCGATACTGACTCTTCTGGGTCCTGTGGCCCACGTGGTCTTTGTTGCAACGACTCGCCCTGGCCACAGGGGCGTGGAAGCTGCCACAGACCACAGGAAACGGAAAGAGTGGCCGTGTTGCAGTCACACTGAGCTTACTGAACAGGACCGCACTCGGCCACCCCTTCCTCTGCCCCGGAAAACTTGCCTGTCCCACCACTCAGGAGCACAGGGTTTTTTTTTGTTTGTTTTTTGTTTTTTTGCCACATGAGGCTTTCTTAGGGCGGGACAAAGCGGCAGGGCGACACCCAGAGGTTCCCAAGGGGGACGACAGTTCGGCCCCAGCCTCACAAGGGGGCGCTAGCTCCCCACCAGCGGGTCCGTGAGGCCCACCGGGGACTTCGGTCCCCTGGGCTCCCAGAACCCTGCAGCCCTGGGAGGGGGACCGAGTCACAGGGCGCCCACCCCGCCCCCGTGCTGGTGCCCGGAATGTACCAACTGGTTAATGAAGGCGGCGGAGGAGGGGAGGTTTAAACTGGGTCAGTCATGTTGGGAACACGTTAACAGACAGGGGGAGGGTAGCACCACTGGTCTAGGGCCTCAATCTCCTTACCAAAAGGATTTGCAAGAATATGTGTGGCTCAGGACCTAAGGAACTTGCTACAGGGAAGTGAGGTCAGAGGTCAGCTCAATCCTGAAATATAAAGGCAGCAAACGGGGTCACACCCAGAGGCAGTGTCACCAGCACCTAGGGAGGGGCGCGGATCCGCGGGAGGCCACCTTCCCTGCTCCGGGTCTTCCTCAGGCTGGGCCTACACCGCCACCCCTCTGCTCCAGGGGAAGAGCCTTCCAGGCCGGGTTTGGAGGAGCTGGGGACAGTTGACAGAGGGGAAATGGGGATTCTCGTGGGCAAAGCGGCTTCTGACTTTGGAGGGACCCCGAGTGGCGTGGCCAGCCGCAATGAGGCTGTTAGAGTTATGCATTCGAATACGTCCTCCTGCTCCCTGTGACCCTAGCAGCCCAGCCTGGGTTCCTGTTTCGATTCCAGCTTGAACCGAAGCGCGCCAGGCCCCAGGCCGGCCGGCAGCGTGCAGGAGACAGCTGGGCTGGGGGTCTGAGCACCGCTTCTCTCCCCAGCTGTCCTGCTGCTTCCAGAGCATTCCTTAGCACCCTGGAGGGATGGAGGGAGGCCCACGGGTGCGCAGTGGGTGTCCGGCGGAGGCGGAGGGGCCCCAGTTCTAAAACTGAGAAGCTAGGCAGCTGCCATTGTGTGGGAGCCCCGTGGAGCAGAACAGATGCAGACGGACCCGCAGACGCTGGGCAGGAGGGGTGGGAGGGAGCGGGGAGGGGAGCTGCCAAGTGGATGAGCAGGAAGAATCGCCTGGTCTCAAGTGATAGATTGGTTTTGTCAGGAACTCGCCCTGGGAGGGAACGGCCGCCTCCTGGCCTCTCGCTTTTCCCTTCTGAGTGGCAGGGAGGCGGGCGTAAGAGGGGCTCAGCCGCCCTCCCCTCCTCCCCCCACCCCCGGAGCACCCCAAGGGGACTGTCTCGGTGGGGGGGAACTGAGCCTGGCTGACGACAGCCGGGACAGGAAAGAACCCCTAAACCCAAAGTGGGGGCGTGGCAGTGGTTGGGGCAGGGGCTTGCCGCAGGCTCGCACCCTTAGCTCTCCCCCTGCACCACGGGACCGTGACCATGACCGTGACCGGAGAGGAAGGTGCTCTGCGGCCCTACCTCTGCTCCTCCTCCAGCTCCTCTTTGGTCATCATCTTCTTGTACTGGTTTCCCCGCAGCTTCCCAGGGCTGTATTTAAAGGAGAAGACCTCTCCCCCTGCAGAGAGGAGACGGGGTCAGAGGCAGCGGGAGGGTCTGAGTGCTGGGGGGCCTCCTCCAGACTCAGGGTCCCCTTCCCCTTTTGTTAGTTTCAAAAGGGCCGTCTCGGCCAGAGGGGGTCTCACCCCGCCCCCCGTCCACCCCAGGGCCCGCACAGGTGCTGCCAGGCCTCAGAGAGGGGGGTGGCGACTTTTCTTCTCGCCTGACAGGGCTTCCTCCCACAGCCTTTCTGTGAAATCCCACGGCCACTGAGGAACTCCAAATGGGGATCTGGAGACAAAATTGTAACAGCTGGGGAGAAATCAGTCCCCTCCTCAAACAGCACAGCTCCGTCCACCAAATGATGGTTCCCTTCCCAGACTGGGCTGAGCTGTCCACAGGTCTGTCTGGCTGTCCCTCTCTGGCGAAGGTTCCCGCCGAGCTGCTGCCTGCGAGGATGGTCCACCCTCGTCTTTGAGGCCCCCCACTACTACTGGCGACTCACACCAGAGGGAGCAGGCTGGGCCAGGGTGCTGGGCTCCCTGCCTCTCCTCGGGCAGGAGGGTGCCTGGGACGGCACAGGGACTCCCAAGCCTCCTGCTGGAGTCCTCCAGCTCCAGGGCCTGGGGCTGCCTGCCAGTGATTAGAAATCTGGAACAACGCATCCAGCCCACGGTAGGACATGGGAGTGTTGTGGCATTCCCACACCATCTTGAATTCGGGCATCAAAACTGGTTCGTATTACTGAGAGGGTGTGCTGGGATCTGCCAGCCCCTGAGGAAAGACTCCTAGCTGCCTTAGAACAAACAGACCATCTCGAGGCCTGATGAGGGCACACCAGAGGTCTGGGCAGAGGGAAGCAGGACTGTGAGACAGGGAGCAAGGGCAAGTGCTGGGCACACGGGCGCGGGCTGCAGGACAGAAGAGGAAAGCACCCCAGAGCATCGCCCTGGGCTGAGCATCAGAGAGGAGACAGTCCCCTTGGAAGTGAGGCCCTGAAGTGGTCCTTCAGCCCAGCAGGTGCAGGGCACACAACCCCAGCTGCCCCGCATTCTGTCTCTGGCCGAGACAGAATGACCTGTCTTGTCTAATTCCCATGAAGGTGTAAAGAACTGAGTATGGGAAATGCAGAGGCCAGCAAATCGCCCTCCCATGCAGGCACAGACCTCTTCAGTTCTGTTCTGGAGAGTTTACCACTCTGTCACTCCAGTGCCAGGAATCTCAAACTCCTGGGCACCCTGCCCCAGGCCACCCCGCCCCAGGCCACCCCGGCCTCCCGCTGGCGGCTGTCCGGCTTGATCAAGCAGGCTGATGTGGGCCCAGCGGGGGAGGAAAACGCCTGGGCCCCTCGGATTCAGCTGCTCTCTGGGCTGACGGAGGAAGGTTCTGGATGCAAATTCCGAACCCAAATGTTATGTGGTGGGGACCGTGTTCTTTCTAAAACCTCGCGGAGGAGAAGGCTGGCCGGCTCCACCGTCCTCTCTCATGGCCCCCTCATCCCAGCCAACTGCCCAGAGAGCCTTGCCTTGGGAAGAAGTTACTGCATTTGCACAAGGATTCCTTTGCTCTTTGTTCTTTCTGCAAATATTTAGTGAGCACTGTGCTCGGGGCTGGAGACTTAGCAGCAAATAAAACGTACAGCAAGTAAAGAGAAGTGAGATACAGTTTGAAGTCGGTCGTGAGTACTCTGCAGAAATGACATGGTGTGGGAGGGAGGGAGGGGGCTGCTTGGAAGATTCTCTGGGGGCGGGGGTGGCATCAGGAAGGGTTTTACGGACGGTAGTTGAGGGGGTGCTGTGAGTTGAGGTCTGCGGTGTCTGGGGAGACAGATCCAGCAAAGCAAGGAGGCCGATGGCACTGGGTGGCAGAGAGAGGGGCCAGGACATCATCGGGGGAGGGGCTTGGTTCTTCCTCCCGGTGGATTAGGGGCCTGGCCCAGAAACAGAGGAATCCATTCCCATCCCTCCCCACTGGGGACCCCAGCCCCCCCGCTGGCCGGCTCTTCCTCCAGGCTGAGCTCTGCTCAGGTTGACAAGCAAAGGCTGGAAAGTTCCATTCCTTGTGGGTCCAGAGAACCGGGAGCTTCCAGCAGCACCGGGTGTGGGCTGCCTGCATGTGGGGATCTGGGCACTTTTCTGAGTGAGTCAGAGCTGCTGTCTGAGGGGCCTGAGTCCTTGAGGATCAGGAAAGCCCCAGAAAGCCTGCCGGAGGGGCATAATCCCACAGAGGCCGCGGTCTCAGAATGAGCTCACAGCCAACGCTAGATTCCGGATCTCAGAAAGAGGCCACAGAGAAAGAAAACCAATTAGCCTCAACATCAAGGTCATTGTGTTGCTGTGTTTTAGAAAAATAAAACATAAAAAATTCTGCCAGCTGGGTACGACTCAAGGTCTCCACGTATGGGGCAGGTCTGATTAGTCTCATGCTTTCGGGCCGGCAGAACAAACGGCTGGAACAGGCTGTCACTTAGTCACGTCGTATGTGGTGTACCCAGCGATAACAGTCGCATCCAGTTTTGCTGGCCTGGAGGTTTGGATGGGAGGCCCCCCGGGAGCAGGACTTCCTCTGCAGCTTTCTCTGAATCCCCAGGTCGCTGAGGGAGGGCGTCTGAGCGGCACTAATCAATTAGCCTGAGAGCCGAGCGCTCACTGCAGAGGGGCGGGGGGCTGGTCCTCTTTTCCTCTGACAGGTGCGGCCATAAACCTCCCCTCTCGCCTAGTCAGAGCTGCCAGGAAGACGCTGGGGGATGGGGGATGTCCTGGGGGCAGCAGTCAGATAAGGGGGAGGGCTCCTGACGAGGCACAGGGCTGGGTGTGAGGCTGGTGAGCCTCCCCTCGTCCTAGCCTGGGGCAACTGGCAGTCTTGACTCTAGTCCCTGTCGGTGTCCCCAAGTCACTAACAGGATGCCGACTTTTGGCATCCCTGCAGGCGCCTGAGGCCACCCAGGCAGGGACAGACGCCAGGGCCACAGTCCCATGCTTCTCTAACCTACAGATGATGGAGGAGAACCAAAAGCTCTGGGGAGAGCAGGCTCCCTCACCACGGGCCTGCGCGGCTGCCTGCCCTTCCCTTCTCCTCTGAGGCAGTAGTGACAAGCGCAGGCCCATGGGGCCTCAGGGGGGAGCTGTGGGGCCCCCAGCACTGCCCTGCTGCCTGCCACACGCCCACACCAGCCGTGGTCAGGGCATTCCTGCAACCCTCTCTTTCCACTGCCCCTGCCAGCTGTCGGCTGAAAGTCACAGCAACAGTATCACTTAAAAAGAAAAAATGATGACTATTTCAAACACACACAAAAGTAAAAAAAATAAAAATAAAAATAAAAGGCAAAGGAAAAAAAAAAAGAAAGAAAAGGGGTGCCTGGGTGGCTCAGTTGTTAAGCGTCTGCCTTCAGCTCTGGTCATGATCCCAGGATGCTGGGATCGAGCCCCACATGGGGCTCCCTGCTCTGCGGGAAGCCTGCTTCCCCCACTTCTCTTCCCCTGCTTGTGTTCCCTCTCTCACTGTCTCTGTCAAATAAAAAAGAAAAAAGAAACAAAGATACACAAAAGTCCAAGCAATAAGTCCCCCAGACTTAACAAACGTTGACATGTTGGTTTTGTTTGTTGTTTGTGTGTTTTTAAAGAAATAAAACACGACGGCCCAGCAGAGACCCAGACCACGTGTGGTTGTGTCTCTGTCTGTCCGGAGGACTGGCCCCCGGGGGTGCCCAGGGCAAGCCCACTGCCGTCCACCCAGTCCGGTTTGAATCTGGCCAGTGTTTTAAATGCTCCTGGTCACTCCCGCTCCCTTCTCCTGGCGGGCGGGAGTCTGATGGCGGGAGGTCCGGCCAGTCAGCTTGTCACCATGCAGAACGCGTGGGCAGTGGCCCTGTGAGTGGCTTTCGTCTCCATCAGATGGAAGGGGAGACATCTGTTGTCTGTCGAGAGACTGAAGTGCGCGAGCAGTGATGGGACGGGAGCTGGGGGGCAGGGCAGGAAACGGAGGGTCAGGGTGCTTGGTTTACTGGCGAGATGGGCCTTCCAGAGCCGAAGACAACTCACAGTTTAGAGACAGGAAGGTGGGGACAGAAAGAGGAAAGGCGACCGGGCCGGGGTGGGGGGTGGGTACGCCCTGGAGGCCAGGTCCCACTCACCCTCCTCTTCCTCAGGCCCTGCTTGGGGTGGGCTCTCCCGGCCATCCTCCTCCTGCTCTGGTTCCTCTTCCTCCTGCAAGGCAAGGAGGGAGTCAGCCCCGGGCGCCCGGAGCGCGAGACGGTCCCTCTGATACGTCCTGCAGGTGCCTGACTCCTTGGTGAAAGCCACCTGACCGGGGTGGGGGGGGCGGCGACGGTCACCCTGCGGGGAGAATTGGTAGAATCGGTGGAATCCGCACGATTTCTGTGTAAACACCGTGTGGCCAAGATGACAAGGGGGAGGCTGTGAGCGGAGGAGCTACGCTTTTGACCATTGAACCTCAGTCCCTTTGCCCTTTCTGGGTGGGTGCCTGTCAAAACCTCTGGAGGCCGTCCCGGTCATGGGACGGGGACTCCCACCCACGCTCCGCCCCCCGACCCTGCTCCAGTGAGTAGAACTAAAGGCACAAGAGGAAGGCTGGCAGGCCATCTGCGGCCCTGGGGCCAGGCTGGGCCATCACGGGGGAGTGGCACTCGCGGGCACAGACTCCGTCTCTGCCTCCTGGCACCTCGTTTGTACCCCTAAGAGGCTCAGCGTCCATCTTCCCAAAATTGGAGCTCTACCTCCTTCAGGGCCGGCGCTCTCCCACGAATGGTCTCAATAAACAGATGGCGGGAAGGAGTGTCCCAAGATGGCCTTCTTGGGAGGAAGGAGTGACTTCAACCTGCAGGAATGCTGGGGGGGCGGCGGGACAGGGACGCACAGATTCTCCAGCTATAGGGAATTTAGGGTCCGCGTGGCCCAGGGAACCGTGACGGGAAGCGAGCGGGCAAACACGGACAGACCGGCAGGTTCAGCGAGGGAAGCACACACAGGAGGGAGCTGCCCACAGCTGGTGGAGAGGGCAGCACGTCTGGGCCTTTGGGACTCGGCTCCCAGGACAGGAGCCTGGAGTGGCCGGCAGCAGGCTCGCTCACAAAATAATGAGCGAAGCAGCCAGTCACGAGTGGCAAACCCTGAGAGGCCTTGAGTTTTCTGGGACTTTCTCGCTCTCTGGACCCCACAAAATGCAGCTGGGAGGAGCGGGGCAGGAGGCAGGAGCAGGACTTCTCCACTTGGCAACAGTGTCCAGCAAGCTCAGCACCAGTGAGATGGGAGCCACGCTGCCACGAGTGCCGCCGTGATGCCCCCCGGATTTTGCACAGCAAAGCGTCTTTGTGCCTGTGGGGAGGGGGCCAGGCCTCTCCAGGGGAGGCAGGAAAAGGTGACACCCCTTTGACCCCGCAAACCCACTTCTGGGGATCTGCTCTGGACTGGGAAACCATCTGTCCACGTTTTTATACAAGGGCTCTGATTGTGTGCAGCAGAAAACATGGCAAACTGGAAACAAGGAAATGTTCGTCCTTAGAGTGAAATGTCTTACCGGTAAATATATTTGGTTAACGTGTTCGCTACGACATTACCAGGCTGAATATATCACAGTGTGCCTGTGCCATGCAGCCCTGTGCTTTAGAAAGGAGGCGGTGGTACAAACCGATGTGAGAAATGCATCAGGTAAATTACCAAGAGGAAAAAGCAAGAAGCAGCAGAGTGTGAGGGAGACAGTCTTCTTGGTGTAAATATAAAAATGGAAGTGCACACACATGCTCCTAAACGCTAACGGAAGTTTTTCTGGAAGGATGGCAAGGCACTGTTAGCAGTGACTACCTTTGGGAGGCGGAGCTACCATTGGGGGTGGAGCCACCTTGGGGCGGGGCTACCTTGGGGGGAGGGGCGGCCCTTTGCTCATTTGATACATTTCCATATATTTGGATTTCCTAATAATATGCACGAATATGCATTAATTACTCCTAACATGTTTTAAAAACACTACACAAGCTGAACTTGAAATCTGCTGGACTATGAAATCTAATTTTTTTTTTTAAGGAACAGAAAAGGAAAAAAAGAGAGACAAATAGCCATTAACCCATTCAGGGCTAATAAGGAGACGGAGAGGAGGTGGATTCTCCCATTACGTGTGAGGAACACCGAGATAAAAGAGAAATAAGCCCAGTCCCTTCCACAAGGATGTCACGATGCAGGTGGGAAGACAGCTACACAGTAACTGCCATCTAAGGTGAGAACGTCAAGAACGGAGGCCGACCCCACCACCCCAAAGGGACACGGTGAAAGCAGACCTGCCAACACTCTCCCGGGGAGAGGCTGGTCTATATTTGAATCTTGCACTTGACTTGTGAAGTGTGCTGTTGCTTAAACTGTGGTTGCGATCCCGTTGGCAGGTTAGGAAAGCAATTCAGAGGTCGCTACTGATGGATACATTTTATTTTATTTATTTGTTTTGACTGCCGAGAGCGATCACAAGCAGGCAGAGCCGCAGGCAGAGGCAGAGGGAGAGGGAGAAGCAGGCTCCTCGCTGAGCAGGGAGCCCAACGGCGCAGGACTCCATCCCAGGACCCGGGGACCATGACCTGAGCTGAAGGTGGACGCTTCACCGACTGAGCCCCCCAGGGGCCCCGCTCCTGATATTTTTTTAAATGTGCAATCCAAGTCTTAGTGTGGTTTTCAGCTTTAAGAATTTCAGAAGCTACAAACATACCAGAAGATGACATTGGAGAGGTTATTTTCATTTTAAATATATTGCTATTTCTCATTCAAATTCCTGTAATTACCACAGTCCGGGCTAGATATGGCTCCAGCTGATTTTCAAAATTCAAAAAAATAGTCACAGCCCGAGGTTCGGTGACTGAGGGATCGCTTTTGTGATTCCAGCCTTTCGATCTTAGGACAATCTGACACACACCTGATGACCTGGACATGACTTCAAAGGAGGCTGACCAGCTCCCCAGGGTGCCCACGGGAGAGGCCTCCTCCACCAGTGCTTCCGGCGCGCATGCGGCGCGCATGAAGATTAAAATGAAAAACTTGGCATTCAAATGTCAGGAGGCTAAGTATAAGAGGAATTTAAATAAGTAAATATTCAACGGATGTGTGCTGTAACTTTGTAGCATTTACACTCCTCAAGTTATTAAAACCTAAAACTGCACGAAGACTTTGGGGGTACCCCTGTATCCCGGAATTAAATGACAGATAAATAGCGCAATGTGTGTGGCAGACAGAGATACTGTTTTATAAAATTTCGGGCGCACTGTGGCTTTATATATGCGGATGTAATTTAAAAAAATTTTTTTACTGGAGACTTGATGAAGTTTGGAAAGCAGTGTGGGCTGGCCACGTACTGGTTTCTGTCTGTGCAGAAAACCGCTTCCTTCGGAAGATGCCCCTTGAAGCCCATGGGCCCACTGGGCACCAACTACCTCAGGGCGGCCAGACCCCCTCCCACAACAGACTGCTCACACCCCACTTTGCAAGGCCAGAACAGGTCAAGTCCTTGCGGGAGAGCGCAGCGGCTGAGGGCTGGGCCCTGGGCACTGCAGGAAGCCGCCACCGCAGGCTTGTCCGGGTTACTTGGTGAACTTTTAGATGACATCACCATAATGGAGCGGAGTCCATGATTAAACAAAACACTGTTTATTGCATTTTGCCCTTATTTTATAAAAAATGTGTACCCGACAGAAAAACGGAAGTGCTGATACTGGTAATAGGGTGGGCGGGTCTGGTACACAGCGCGCTTGGGACAAAGATGGTCGCACTTCTGGAAGTGGCGGCCCATCGGCCTCCCTCCAGCTCTCTGCCTCCAGACGGTGACCGGTGTTCATGACCATGAAGGAGGGCGGTACGGGGCAACCCGGTCGTCGGCAAGGCTGCACCTCTGCCCTTCCCTCCTGCAACACGTCCCACTTTCCATCCTGCTCTAGCATGTGCAGTTTTGAAGATATGTTTTCTGGAACACACTGTGCGTCTAAGCAACACAATAGAGGGGCCCCGAGGGCAGCTCGGTGAGCCTGAAGGGCAAATCGAGGCCGCAGAAGGGACGCTAGGCAGGGAGCCTCGCGGCTTCTGCAGTGACTTGCTGGAGAGTTTGGTGTGGTTTCAGGGGAGTATGGTGTTGGGAAGCAGGGCTCCGACCAGGGAGATATTATAAGGCAACGAGGCGGCCCCCAGCAGCTTTAAAATGGGGAGAAACGGGAGGAGAGCAGCCTTTTGGGAGCAGAAAGTGGAATGGTGTAGCAAGGGCAAGATGGGAGGCAGGAGGAACTCCAATAAGGGGGTTCAGAACGCAGGTGAGAGATGTCAGGCCTAACTGGGAGGTGAAGGGACTCTGGCCTCCAGCTCAGTGTTTATTAAGTCAATCAAGGAAGGACTGGCTGCCCCTGGCTGAAGGCGATCCCCTGGGGCTCTGGAGGTCTGAATCCCACCTACCCTTGGCTTACTTCCCCACAGCACTGGGCTAGGACCACGCCTGGGGCAGCACGACCCGACCACTGCTCAGAGTGCTGACTGCAGGCCAGGGAGAGGCGATCACTGTGGATTTCTGGGCAGTGCCCTCGGTCCTGAGCGTGCTACAGAGTACCCTGTGTTGTGGGCTGAACTGTGTCCCTTCCCACATTCACAGGTTGAGCTCCAAATCTCGAGTATCTCAGACTGTGACTATGTTTGGAGAGAGCGCCTTTGATGAAGGAATTCTGTTAAAATGAGGCTGACGGAGCGGGCGGTGGGGCGTCCCAACTCCATCTGGCTGGTGTCCTTTTAAGAGGAAATCTGTAAGAAAGGACACAGGCCAGAGACACCAGGGGTGTATGTGCTCATGGAAAAACCCCTTGACACGGAGAGAAGTCGGCACCTGCGCGCCAGGGACAGAGGCTTCGGGGGAGAGCGGCCCTGCCCACATCGGGACCTTGTAATTCTGGAGAAAAGAAATGTCTGTGTTCCGAGCCGCCCAGTCTGTGGTACGTTGTTCCGGCAGCCCTAGCAAACCGACACACCAAGCTCTAATGAAAGTAAGTCGGTTTTGAGAAAACCGTGAATTGGGGACACCCTCTGGGACCGACAGCCAGTGTCATCCCGGCTGGTCCCCAGAGCAGTCTTGTGCTGGGACCCAACCCCTCACCTCACTGACCAGAGCCCACAGTTTAACTTCACATGTCCCGGGACACTTCTCCAACTCAGCCGTTTCCTCCAGTGGAGGGATGGCT